TACATGACAAAGCATGTATGAAATACTTGGATATTATATGATTATCTATTAATTACCTATTATTGTAGCTCTAATGGTCGAAAAAATAACTCCAGTCGGACGGGTATCATACGCGTCCTTTTCTCAGCGCGGCCGACCGTCGTGGACCATGAAATACGTTTCTTTGCATCTGCAGGATACTGGTGTTTAACTCAACGGGGTCACATGGCCAATTTTCAAACTCAGACCCCGTGGACAAGTTCTAAGCCTAGTGACACCAGGGCAGGACGTTATCAGGATTCCTCTTCTGTTTTGGGCGATTTTACGGGGATAAACCCCTCGACCTGGGTCGTCCCTATACCCAGAGTGTGACTGGTGTGTGTGGGTGTACCATCACCAAATTGTGTCGGACATAAAAGCCAAGGCATGTGGATAATCAGTGTTATATGAAACTTACGAATGCTGAGTCGTGCCTAAGTAATGAGGTGCTCTACGAGGGACCGTTGGCGAGGCCTGTGGAGTGTATGTGTGACAGCACTTGACCTGCGCTCGCACTCTCCCCTCGCCCGACCGCGAGAGTAAATCACCTCAGCGGCGGTCTGTCACCCGCCCGCGGCCCCCACCATGGAGGGGGAAGGTGACGGCCTTGGGGCCACCGCGGTGCCACCCACCCCCACAACCCCCCACCCTGTGGAAGAGATTGATTCTTCTGACATGAACAACGAGGAATCACCTGCAAACCCTGACGTTGACGACGAGGGCTTTCAAGTCGTCATTGCGAAAAGAAATAAAAAGACAACACATGAATCCGGTAACGCGACTGATGAACGACCCAGGATCAATTACTGAGAACCCATCGCCCCAAGACAGAAGTACATCCGCTTGGCCTTCCCCGAGGAAACGTCCACTGTCGATAAAATAAGGTGGATGAAGGAAGTCAGCCGACTCCCTTCCCTCCAAGAGCATGGACCACTAGACATGGTGCAGGGGAAATGGCGATCCTCGCGCTATGTCTACGTCCGACAGGACCAACGACACTACGTAGCCCAGATGATCAATGGTGCTGTCGCAGGGATTTAGCTTGAAGAAAAAGATGAGTATCAGCCCAGACCCAAGAGATATGGGGAATACCTGGTTACTAGGTTTCCAAAGGAGGCCCCTGCAGATGACGCAATGCACCTTCCGGGTGTTTTTAAAGCCCAGAGAATCTATAAAGAAGGGCAGCCATTAAATAGAATCATAATTGTGTGGAGCGGAGAACGCCCACCACCCACTGAACATCACTTCTTTGGCAAGTACATAGAGCCGAGCTCTATACGCCCATAGAGCTCTGAGGTGGTGGACTGCTACAAGTGCCAGGGTTACGGCCACGTAGCCAAACACTGCAGGAAGGAATCAGCTTGTGCTGTCTGTGCAGAAGCTTATCAGACAAAGGACTGCCCTTCAAGAAACAGAGGAAAGGACAACGACACCGAATACGCCGTCACCATCGTGAAGAGGTGCGTCAGATGCGGGGAGCAAGTTTATCACGGCCTGCCACTGTAACTGCCCGCACAAGCCGGCACGCCTACCCCCCCCCCCCCTTGCCCCGACCGTACCCTTCGATCGCGAAGTGGAGATGCCCAGCCCAGCTACACCCTGCCCGGTGCAATGTGATGTCACTAATCCACAGGATTTCCCGGAGCTGCTTGGTGGGGTTCCCATCCCAGAAAACAGTGCCTCATAACTAACGAATGGGGAAAAAATCAAGGAAATGGCCGAGGAAATAAGTAGCCTCAGGTAAGAAATTGCTGAACAAAAAAATGTCAAAGGAAAGAGAAAGTTAAAGTGTATATAGGAAAAATACACTTCCTAATGATGTCAGTGATATCGAAAATGTGAATGAGGTCTCTCATGCTAATGCTAATATTACACATGATAATGATAATATTACACATGATAATGTTAATATTACACATGATAATGATAATATTACACATGATAATGATATTATATCACATAATTATGATAATATTACACATCATCATCATCATCAAGGGGGCTGACGCCGACGGGGGCGCATAGCCGCATCCACCCTTCGCTTCCACCTACGAGGATCCCTCATGGCTAGACGCCAGGCAGGGACTCGGCCCATCTCTATTTCTTCATGGCAGGTTTGGTCGATCTGCCCAAGCCACGACTTCCTCGGTCGTCCCACAGGCCTCCTCCACCCAGGGTTGTCTCGAACAGAGACGACCTGATGGGCAGGATCATCCTGAGGAAAGTGAGCCAGGTGGCCGTATAGCCTGAGTTGGCGATCACGGATTGTGCATATAACAGGTCCTGTGCCAGTCTCACGATGCAACCGTTGGTTGGACACATGGTCCCGCCAACAGTGCCCCATGATCTGGCGCAAGGACCTATTACAAAAGGCTTCAAGACGAGCCTCCAAGGCACAGGACAATGTCCAAGTTTTGCTACCGTATAGCAAAACTGGTATTATCAGGGCCTTGAAAACCCATAGCTTGGTCCTTC